TTCAATGCATGGCAAGAGTCATGTTTCTTCGTCTATATACGAACTTATGTACTTCAATGCATGGCAAGAATAAAGGGGGCATCATCACGTGTTGAGCTTGGATGTACTAATAAGAGTTCTTAATGAGATTTTGCGTCCAAAAGTAGGTTTTTTTTGCCCCCCTGTTTTGTTTTGTTTTCTTTTGTTTGGGTGGTGGGGGTAGAAAAATTCTTGGCCCCGTAAATGACTTTCTGAAGCCCAAGCTAGCGCTTCAAAAATGGGTATTTCAATTGATCGAAAGACTTATTTCTGTTGCAGAAGACGAAATTGTAAAACGCACCTTTAGGCCCCGTTTGGCAAAGGGTTAAGGAAGAGGGGTTAAAGAGAATGATTAATGTACTTAGCCCATTCGATAATCCGAATGACTAAATTATTAACCCGTTAAATAAGTTTTAGTTTAGCCCTTATGATTAGTTTTAGTGTTTGGGAATAACAATGATTTTGACTATTTTCTTTATAATTAGAAGGGTTAACTCTTAACCCTTCTAAATAGGAGTATTAGTAAACCCCTCATTTTGAGGGGTTAACTCATTTTAATCCCTCTAGAGGGGTTAACTTAACCCTTCTATATTTTTTATGTTTGGCAAATTATGGAGGGTTAACTCACTTTAACCCTTGTGAAGTTTTTTTGTGCTTGGCGGGTTAAGAAGGGGTTAAGTCTCCTTAACCTCTCACTTAACCCTTTGCCAAACGGTACCTTAGAGGTTTTTAGCAGAGATCTTGTATGTGGAACTGAAAACTAGATGCTTTCCATGTTTGCTGTTGTGTGGCCAGTTGTAAATCGATAGTTGTCGATCCATGATGTGAAGTTCATTACTCGTATATATAATTTTTAAAGCGGCAGTTAGCCGCTTATCGCATAATCCCCTAAACTTGAGCGATAATTACTCATACTTCTAATTAGTTTAAAATTCTAATTGATTCTTAGGATATTTTAGGAAGGTATAAGTATTTTGATCCAGCGAGATTTCATTTGAATTTGAAATTCTATTTGACATCAAGACTTATCAAGGTATTTACTTAGAGACGATATTTTTACATCCAGACTCATCAATGAATTTGACTGTTTACCATATATAAGTCTGATTCCAATATACGCAGCGTAGGAGAAAACAATTACTCGTCTTGAGATGGTTAGCGACAATTAAATCTGTTGTTGGGGATAATGATCTGCTTGTTATGATCTTTAGAACCTAGCTACAATGCTAAGGAATGAATCTATCACTAACTTTTATTTTGTTTCATTTTTTTTTAAAAATATGTATCACTTGGCAGGTTTCATTTATTAGATATATTTAAGTTGGCATATCTGAAAGTCTAATTGATGCAAAATATGTGCTATATATTGTATATAACTTGACCTATAATAGTTTTAGTAGATAAGTAAAATATACTAACACTACCACATATTTGCTCTAACGCAACGGTTCAAAACCGTTGCGCTAGCCATGGAACCGTCGCCCTTGAGCAAGTACGACGGTTCTCAAACCGCCTCATATGCTGCCGTTGCCTTACCTCTACCGTAACGGTTTTGAACTCTATTGCGACGGTTTTTTAAACCGTTGCCCCTGCATCTAACGCAACGGTTTTAAAAGGTACGCGGTTTTTAAGCCATTGCAACGGTTTTGATTGAGCTATTGCGACGGTTTTTAAGCTATTGCAGCGGTTTTGATTGAGCTATTGCGACGGTTTTCAAGCTACTGCAGCGGTTTTTTTAGATATTACAACAGTTTTAAAAGACCTAACGCAACGGTTTTAGTAGGCTAAAGCTATGGTTTTAATAGAGCTACGGCAACAGTTGGAGCTATTGCAACAGTTTTAAAAAACCTAACGCAACGGTTTTAGTAGGCTATAAGTATGGTTTTGATAAAGCTACGACGGCGACAGTTGGAGCTATTGTAACAGTTTTAAAAGACCTAACACAACAGTTTGGATTGAGCTATCGCAACAGTTTGGATCAAGCTATCCCAACGGTTTTGATCGAGCTATCGCAACGGTTTTAATCGAGCTATTGCAACAGCTCAATCGGACATGTTCTTGGTTTCCTACGTCAAAATAATATAGTATTCAATTACCTGGACAATCTTTTTAAGAACATGGCCAAGTCAAATTTTAATACACAATATAAAAGTGAGTATGTTGAGCATAATCAACCATAATGATAAGTGCCAACATACATCAGTATAGTATAAAAACTACAAAGTATTAAATCCACACTACCAACATTTCAACTCAGAAAATATTGTACCGAACTAACATTCAAACAATGTACATCAACATTTGATTACAAAACATGAAACTTCTCGGTCAAAGACTATATTCTCTATTTGTTTCCAAAAACTTGTTCCTCAACGTCAAATACTCACTAGGAACCTGTCAGTATCAATCTCAATCTTGGCTTTCATCAATTTCGGTTCAAAAGATTCATATATCAAAGCCATCTTGACCGCATTCTCCTATTTAAGTCTTTATATCCCCTGCAAAAAATAAAGAAACGTATCAAATATCATGTTAGCAACAAACTGAAAAGGTAATTTTTTAAACTAACCATTACAAGGAAAAAAAAAGCTCAAGTAACATTGGTAAATAAGGAGACAATTGATCCTCAGATGGCTACAGTTTCTCTTTTATATTAAAAAAGAGAGAGAAAATCACTCACCTACATCAAAACCTCTTTTGATTTTTTCAGCCAGCTAAATTCTAAATTTTGACGAGATCTGCAATTATAGCCTAGCAAAATATCTGGGGGCGGCAGATGACAGAATCTTTGAGGAAAAAAGGGGCAAAAACTCAGAGAATATCATGTAACAAGAACTTGATTAAATAATTTATGTCTATATGGTATGATTAAAATGTGGACCATGTATCGGTGGTAGTGATCATCAGCAACATCTCCAGTGCTCCCATCCTTGATATTTCCTGATAAAACACCAAAATTTAAGGGAACAAGATTATGAAAGAAGTAATGCACGCGACGGGTTTTTATTTATTTATTTTATTTTTTGAGGGGGGTTACAATAGAATAAAATTACTGTTTGTATTATTGAATGCTTCCAGGTCTTGGTCAGCAAAGGAATATTCGAAATATAATAGATTATGCAAAAATTAATGTTAATAAAATTTTACCTGGCATGTGAGTAAAGACGTCCCAATTGTTCAGACTTTTGTTGCCTTCTAGATATCCACCTTCAATCTGGGAAAAAAACAAAATAACTAGGTGAGCACTCCTGAAAATTAATATCTTCGAATACTTTTCGAATACAAACGTTTGTATACGAGGTTGTCGCAGGATGTGTCTGTAAATTGATATCCCAAAGCCATCCTGGAATTTATATGGACTGCCAAATGTATGCTAAAAAAAGCACTTGAAGTGTTTAATTAATGTGGCTAATAAAATAAGTAATATCGTTCTGTTGTAAACAAATCCGTGCTCAAAAGTTTCTCATACATGTAGTCACACCCGTAGGTATTTTGAGCAACTTTGGCAACTTTAACGATGCATCGCGGGTAGAAAACCTCCAGCTCATTCTTATCAAAGAAAATGCGGTGCACAAAACCCGCTCGCAAAGAAATTATTAACTTTATTTTCTGAAAAGAAAAGTACTGCAGGTTTGATCAGAAAGTGTGAAGTTGTATCTCTCCATTCCGTATACTTCACAGTTTGTATGACAAAAAAAAAGTGTACGTTCTCGTGATGATTCTTACCTGATAGCATGAAGTTGCAGTGCCGAAGAGAAATGAAGAAGGGAAATCACTTCGATCCAGGCCAGTAGCCAGAGATATGAGCTCAAAAAGCAAACCAAATGCGAAAACCTTCTTCAACTCCATATTTCAAAACCCACCCTTTAATTTGTGCAGCTCCTAAATCTTTGTTAAGTTATCCTGCAGGCACTTTATATCTTCTATGTTATTTCGAGCTTAATGCAGTGAGGTTTATATAGAGATTAGGGGTGGATATTGTTGAAGGAAAAATCAAGTATCAAGCAAACCAAATGCGAAAACCTTCTTCAACTCCATATTTCAAAACCCACCCTTTAATTTGTGCAGCTCCTAAATCTTTGTTAAGTTATCCTGCAGGCACTTTATATCTTCTATGTTATTTCGAGCTTAATGCAGTGAGGTTTATATAGAGATTAGGGGTGGATATTGTTGAAGGAAAAATCAAGTATCAGGCCTTGTCATAAGACTGTGTATGTGTTTAAGCCATTGAATAATAACGTGCAGTTTTAGCAATATGTATGAATGATCTTTACATTGAAATTTTCGTGGTAATGATACGGAATATTTCTTCAATGCCACGTATTGGCGTGGGAAATGCAAAGGATAAGGGCGGTGATCAGAAGTGGCTTAATTCAGACGTTTCCTCATGATGATTTTGATGGATCTTGTGAAATTCTGCAGATTTAGTGTTGGGAATTTACGCCGAAACCCCCTAAAACAGCAGAAACACAGTAATTAGAACTACTGAAATTTTTATCAGGGACTTCCTGCAAGGAGGACGAAAGCAAAATAAACCCTCTAGCAAAGGATCCATTGCCCTAGCATGACTCTAAGGTTGGATAAGCATCCACACTTGTCAACAGCTAAATCAGAGACTCCTTTGGTAATCAAGCATGGAATAATCGTAACAAAAACAGAGAATAAAAGGACCAAGGTTATCATCAGGGGGGAAAAAAGGACGACACTAATTAAAGTCATGGCTAATGAGAGAAATTTGTAAGACTACAAAATTGAGCTCTCTCTCCTCTTTGGTTATGATAATGCTTACTCGATAATTTCACTGACTGCCCATCCATTGTAACTTCATACATGCATCTCTATCTTATGGGGATAGCTCACGTCCCTAAAATATATGAGCGAAGGTAAGAAGAGCTTTAGCCTTTGGAACGAGAACGTCCACTAACTTCCCAACATGATTCATCCATGGCTGTTTTAGGATTCTGAGGAGGATATAACAAATGGTGCGGTGCAAGTGGTTCTGTAGAATAGATTGGCTGTTATAGTTATTGAGCAGCACAGTACTAAAATGATTAGCTACTGCAGCTTCCGGAACCTGAAGAAAGGATGTTCAATTGAACTACCTTCTGGAGTAGCACAAATTCTTATTCAAGCACTGGATAATATCGGCACATTCATTGATGTAGTATAGAAGCTGATCACAATATTGATGTGGACTAATACAATAAAGAATTGAATGGTCAAATGTCAAGTTGTAAACATCTAATTACCATGTATATACAGGTCCCTCATCCTTGAGCAACGGAAATGAGGTAGCCAAGCATGGGAATGCTGGAAACTCCAATGGATATTATCAAGAAAATATTAGTCACAAAGGTGTAATGGAAAGTCATGTGGATTAAATCATCTCCTGTCGATCATTGCAGTTAGAATTTATGTTGAGTATTTTCAACCTTTTACATAAAAAAAATTAAGTGTATGTGCGCATATGTACATATATATGTGGATATGTGTACATATACAGGGTAAATTGCATATAAAACCCCCTCACCAATATTTTCAGTTGTACTTGTCACCCTTCAATTGTTTTCATATCACTTGGCATCCTTGGATACATGAGAGTGAGGGAGGTTATCTGTGTGCGCGCAGTCGCATGTCGATCTATACGTACATCATACTGTCTATACGTACGTCAAACTACATGTATTAACATTATAAGCATAGTTCTGATGGAGCTAGGGGTTCCCTCAAGAGGGGTTCATAATACAACCATCATAATATATATAATAAACTTAGGAAATACTTATGTATCAGTTAAAAACAGGCAAGTGGAATAAAAGAATTGCTGTTTTCCTCCATTCCTTATGCAACTTTTTTGTATCGGCTTCAGATTATGAGACTGTAAAGTATAAAACTACATTATTAATTGCTGTTGAACTAAAAAAAATAAAATACATAAAAAAATTTAAATAAACAATTTGATAAGATCCCACTTTATATTTGCCACGTAAGCACAATTAAGCCATGTAAGACGCATGTGATCCCATAATGGTTCTGTATATACAGATTGGTAGGTTCTGTATATCGATCTGGTAATTTTTCTGGTAATTTATAGGTTGTGGTTCGGATCTGTTGTGGTGGCCTTTACAGCTAGAGTATGATGCTTCTTTGCTGGTTTTGGCACAGCCATTAAGTTGGTAACATGGATATCATCATCATCATCATCCTGTCTTCGGTCCTTAAATATTTGTGCAGCTAAAATCAGAAAGGATATCCTCGAATCAAAAATATTCACCACTGATTTTGCACGGGATAGCTGATGCATCAAAGAGTACTAATCTTTAGGCTGAAATTTAACTTTCTCTTTTTTTCTCTCAATGATCGATGTATGTAAAAATATACGGTGCATGTTGTTCATGGCATTAGATATGTATCAAAGAGATATCAACCGTTACATCCGTATAGGAATCCAATGTCCAGAAACAGCAAGAACAACAGTATGTTCAAAAGAAACAAAAACAATGGTATTAATAGAAAATTAAATTCTTACCCTTGCATTTTGAGAATGCCAAATCTTTAGTAAAGCTCTAAATTGACCCTTGGGAACAGTCTTGGGGCGCTTTTTCCATCTTTCTACATCATTTTTTAAACCAGTAAAATGAAAAATTACAAATTTAAATCATCTATAATATGAAAAATAAATTGAAGCATGTCCACAATTTCCCCAAATTTCCCGCAAAAAATCAAAAAATTTAAAGATTAATAAAACAGTGATCCAACAGTTACTTAAATCAAGATATAAGCAAATCCCCTCAATTTAATTAACCCACTTGCCTAACCTAGTAGCTAATCACAACCAACATTCTGTCATTACCCAATAGAAAACAAATAAATCCAATTTTTTTGAGAAGAAATAGCTTTTAGGTTAAGAAATCTTACCTCAGGGATCGAGCTAGAGCAATGGATCGTGATTAATGCAGCAATCGATGTTATCCGCAGCACCTAAAAAAAAGAAGAAGAGATTTTTAAAGATAGAAAGGGGGAAGAAATTGTAGAGATCAGAAATGCAAGGAACTGAGGTACCTTGACGACGAGATTAGTAGCTTGACGACGACGAACAAGACTGGAATGGCAACGAGAGTAGCATGACGCCGAGATTAGTAGCTCGAAGATGAGATCTGAGAGGAGATTTGAGAGAACGGCAAACCCTAGAAACCAGGGAGTAGCTCGGCGACGAAATCAACGAGATTGCAGATCAGAGAGGAGCTTAGAGATGCGATCCGATCCGAAAACGCCGACGAGGTTTTGGCCATGGCGATTTTAGGGATCGGAAAAATTTGGAGGCGATTTTAGGGATTGCATTTGAGAGAGAGATATTTGGTTGCGGTGGGCTTTTACAAACTTTACGCCCAAAACCACGAAGAAATATTAAGCCCATGAACAATTATTTGGCCTATGGCAACATTTTTCATTTAATGTTGTATTAGCCATTATAAACCGTTACGATAGATATCTAACGCAACAGTTAGAACCGTTGCGCCTTAACCGTTACAATAGATCAATTATGTGATAGTGTAACTTGAAGAAATATATTATCTTCTAATAATGTGAGGACTCTTAATAATAAGCTATTACGTACTCTACCATGAATTATTTTGGTTGTTAGGTTAAGATGTCTAACACATAATCTATGTTTAATCATTTTCTTTAACGAATTAAACCACCCAAATACTAAGAGAATAATACATTTTGAGTCAATGTTTTCTCCTTGATTATGCAAACAATCCCATTGAGCGTGAATATGACTAGTATTTTGTTCTCTTCCTCAACAAACACGATTAAAATTGTAATTTCTTTAAATCGTAATTTCTTTATTCTTTTACAGTTGGCGGTACAAATCCGAATGAAGGGAGGGATGAGATCAATAAAATTCAACAAAAGTTACGTTCTATGTAATCCCAGAAGAACATAATAAATAATACTATTTCATATATATATCGCATTGGCTCTCTATATCTGTTTTTATCTTCTTGCCTCTTCTCTTTATTGATTTTCCACCGATGACAAGAATTTTATGAATTCTGCAAGATGATATGTATGGAATGTATATTAAGGATATAAATGAATGCAAATAATCAAATTCAAATGTGATTACATATTCATATTTTCACTTATTACAATGCCAAAATGGATACAAATAATGATAAGCTTTTTGGCACATCAAAATAGATATTTAAGATGTGTGAAATCATATGCGAATATAGAATAAATCTATTGAGCTTTATAATGTATATAAAATAGGTAGAGTCTTTTAATCATATAGTATAGTGCATATACTTTGCATGTAGACATTGTTTTATCTTCTGGATTTTATTGCTGACTGAGAAACATTAGTGAACAATTAAAATTTTGTGTTAATAAATTAAATGTACAGTTAAATTTATATAAGAGTAATACCAATATTAGTTATATTTAATCATAAATTTTAAAATAATTATCACATATTAAATAATTATTTAATGCTATGAATATTTAAAATAGTATAATTGTAAATTTAGGATAATATTTATAATAAACTATTATCTTATAATAAAACTATTATCCTATTTTATAACTATTCTTTATATTAAACAATTCATAGTTATAATATTATTAACTATTAAAAGTATGAATAATAATTTACTAAATGATTATTTTTAAATTTCTTATAATAATACATCCCATTTTATAGTTATTCTTATTATTATAAAATTTTAAGTATATCTTAGTGAATGACAAAATGCTTTGGAAAAGTGTGAAGGTGCATGGTTAATTGGTTAGCAAAGGATTAATTAGAGATGACAAAAATAAGAATTATAAATATTGAGAGTGACATAATAGGAAATCAAAAGTTATGACGCTATATATGTTATTGTTATTCACGATGTAGATCAATTCCTAACAGTTGTAGCACGTAAGGGGAAAAAGTTACAATTAAATAAATGATTGATATAAGGAAATCCAGAAATTTTCCAAATTGGTTTTTTTAAGCATGAATATAGATGAATGAATCCTAATAGACAAAAACATCACAAACTCCTTTCCCCTCAGCAGAAGCACCAAATTTACCAACTTCGAAGATATATATATTCGTCTAAATTAGCTTGTAAGAAAAATCATTATCCCAAAATAAAAATATATTAAAAACCCCTTAAAAAGAAACACAACCTTAAAAATATTAGGGAAAATGTGTTCAGGCCCCAAAAGCAGAAACTTCATGTGCTGCAGCCCCTCTTAGTTTCTCCCATGTGATTCAGCCACTTGAAGTGTGACACTTTGTACTACAACCCTTTTTTAGCAATTATTACATGTCAGCTAAGCAAAAATCCCCAAAATAACATTATCCCCTCTCTTCAATCCTTCAAACTCAGCTCTCTCTCTCTCTCTCTCTCTCTCTCTCTCTCTCTCTCTCTCTCTCTCTCTCTCTCTCAAACCAAGGGCTTTCTCAAGCTCGTCGCCCTGGCTCTCGCCCTCCTCGTCATCGCCGTCGCCGTCTCCGCCCAGGCCCCTAAGCCTCGCCCTCGAGTTTGCCGCAACGGGCCTGTTATGTTTGCTGGATATGAGAGGAAAATGTAAAACCCTGATAATTTATGAATAATATAATTAATGTGTGATAAATTATGATATGTGGATATTTAGTATGATAAATATCATTTAATGGTATATGAGTATAATACCATGTGTTTTGAGTATGAACGAGTCATACATGAGAAAGAGAAGAGTTGAAACATGCACAAATGGCCAAACACATGAGTATCTGGAAATGCCCAGTCCGGTCGACCGTCGTGGTCGACCGCAGTCCGATCGACCGCGAAACCTGCAGACTGTTTTAAACCTGTTTTGAGTTGGTTTCGGATTTCCAAACCCATATTCGTTTTTCCTTGATATATATATGAGTTTTTCACGTTTTATTCAGTATTCCTAAGAACCCTAACAGCCACCAAACCCCCCAAACCCTAGTTTGATTTCTTAGAGAAGATTGGAGGTTTTCAAGTTGGGTTTTTGTTGATTTTTGGTTTTTGGAGTGGAGATCTCCTTCGACGTTGCTTCTAACACGTTTTTAAAAAGGTTTTTTAAAGAGATTTAAACATATTTTGTAGAGTCTAAACGAATAGATTATGTATAAAAGATAACTCTTTTGTATTATATGTATAACGATTAGGTCTTTTCATGCTAAAAAGGTTGAGAACATTTTTACAAATGTGATTTAGATCTGAAGATGATTTTAAAACGTGGTTAATCTAAAGAAAGAAGTTTGATTCGTTGTTTTGAGCTTTTATGCATGTTTTAGGATTTTGAATATAAATCTAATGCATAAAATCATGGTTATATATGTTAATTTTGATTTCCAGATATTTCTATCTGCTGTAACATATGTGTATGCAAGATTCATGAAGTTTTTACCATGTTTGAATCACAAAAACACGTTGTGAACACGCCACACACAAATCTGAGAAAACTGGATATCTGGCTCACGGTCGACCGCCACGGTCGATCACGTGGCTCACGGTCGACCGCAAGGTCGACCGGCTGTAGGACAGAGACTTAGGTAGTCTTTGGAGCCCGTCGCGGTCGACCGCCAGTTTGATGTTGGCCTGTGCATGTTGTTTGGATTTGTTTTGGTTTTTTGAGAAAATTCCTCGATCTCGTACTGATATATTACAGTGTTTAAGAGTTGTTTAACACCTAGGATAATGGTGAACTTCAGATGTGGACACGCATGTTAGGTCCTTTATTTTGATGATGATTTACAAACACCATTATTGGTGCTAATCATGTATTGAGCTATATTATAGATTACAAGTCATTAGCACTATGAAATGGAGGATTAGATGGAATATGAGCTACAACGATGATATGTAAAGAGGCGGAGGCAAAGTGATGAAGCAATGTTCATCAAGAACATCATATGCCATAAAGAAGCTTCATCAACTCAAAGCAATATCAAGACTCAAGAAATGTATTTCTATGTGAGAGATCTTTGCTATTTTATTTTCTCTCTAGTACTTAAATGTAGGCAAGTAATTGTAGATTTCGTTTGAAGCTTTTTGGCATATCACACACACACTTATACTCTTTCAAACTCATTTTGTGGTACTTGTGTCAAAATAATATTTCTCAAAAATACGAGGATCTTTTTGCAAAATTTCTTTTCAAACAAGTATGTCAAAATGTTTATAAACCATTCGCTGAGTTTTACATTTTTCAGAGTTTATTTGATTATTTTTAACAAGGCTCAAAGTTAATTTTTTCTGTGTGCATGTTTATGAGTCGACTCATGAACAGTATTGAGTCGACTCACAAACTACTACGTAGTTCTCAATTTGCTTCTGATGAGTCGACTCGCAACATCATGAGTCGACCCGTTAGGTTGAGTCAACTCATGCCTGTCATAAGTCGACTCATGAACTACGCTGGAATATGTGTTTTGCTTCTGCTGAGTCGACCCATGACTTAATGAGTCGACCCATGAATGATGAGTCAACTCATAAATTTTATGAGTCGACCCATAAGCTGATTTTCAGCCTGTAACGACTACTTATGAGTCGACTCATGAAAAGTACGAGTCGACTCATAACACTGTAACGGCTATATTTGTACTATTTTAGAAATCTGTTTTTCTTGGGATTGTGTCTGGTTTCTTGGGGTTTTAACTGCAGTATTCTCTCTTTATAAATACCCAACAACCCACCTACCTCAGTAACTAAGCCTTCATTGCAAATTACTTGAGGTTAAGTTCATTGTTTTCAAAGAGCCTTAATTTTCTTTTGCTCTCACTGGTTCTGAGTTCACATCCCAAGCTTCAACTGCAATCTCTCTTCTTGCCATAGGCCTACTGTAAATAGAGAGTTTTTTCTTCTATTTGTGACTGTTGTGAGCTTGATCTCGTGGAGATCTACTGTGTGGTTGTGAGATCTCAAAGGAGATCGTTGTGTAGAAGAAGTTTCGGCTTTCAAACCAGGTGTGTAGTGGATTTCTCCTCGAGAGTGGGGAGCGGGGACGTAGGTCAGCGGACCGAACCTCGTGAACACATCGCGCGTCATCAATTGACTAACTATTTCTATCCCTACTCTCTTATTATTGTTATTGCACTTCTTTTTGTGTGTGGCTTGTTGAAATTAGTTTTAATTGCATTTTATTCATCCTAAAATCCTATTCACCCCCCCCCCCCCCCCCTCTTCCCCCCCCCCCTCTCTAGGGCCTTTCAATTGGTATCAGAGCTTAGGTCTCTACTTGTGTTAGGATTAAAACCCTTAGAGAAAAGATCATTATGGAGGGATCAATGAACATGCATATGCTAGAAGGACAATCCACCACTAGACCTCCCCTCTTCACTGGTAGCAACTTTGCATATTGGAAAGC